AACAACAGCAAAACCAGAAATTAAGAGCAAATATCACTGGATATAGCAATTTCGGCTCCCAGACGGTCTATGGCAACAAGAAGAAACAGCAAAAAACAGTCCCAAAACCAAATTCACAGTGAGGCACCAAAAAAATAAGAAAAACATTTGAAAATATAAAATTCACATCAGAGATGATCAAAAAATTTCACAAAAATCACCATAAATATCGAGATGAAATTTCGAGCCTAGTGATGGAGGTTTCGTCCATACAGTGCTGATGTCATGCTGACGTCATCGTACAGATGATGACATCAGCACATCGTGGTCACCTCCAATTGATCTCCAGAATCTGTAGAACACTTCCCAATGAAGGATAGATTGCTCTGATATCAAGTTAGAATGTATAATGAAGAAATTTAGTGTTAGTTTATAGGGTTTAGAGGAGGAAGGAGAGAGAGAGAGAGAGAGTAATTTTATATATATGGAATGAATGTTCTCTACATCAACAAAATATATATGCAAACCCTAACATAGTGAAATGACTATCATACCCTCAACTTAAGTAAATATTAACAGAAAAACAAAATAGAAAATAACTATTCTAACAGTTACTTTGGCATAGTACAAAAAGAAAAATATCATTGCATGCTCTAGTGTCAAAGTTGAGTATAGAGCTATGGCTCATACTGCTTCCGAGATGTTGTCTCTCCTTCAGAACCTTGGTATTCATGTTCCAACTCTAATGCAAATATATTGAGACATAGAAGCAACCAGCTTTATTGATCACAATCACGTTTTGCATGAGTGCACCAAACATATATTGATATACTCATGAGATGGTGTATTTCAGCAATTAGGAGCATGTTAATTATGTAGATTCTAGCCCCGCGTGCGCGGGGGCGGGGGCGGGGTTGTTGTTGTTGAGTTATTTAGTCTTATTTTATGGTAGGGGTATTTTTGTAATCTTGTGGTTATAGCATTCTAATTAGAGTTGTTCAAGGACCCATTTCGACCCACCAAAACTTATCGGACCAATGGAAACCCAATTATGCAACTATTCACATAGTATTTCGACCAACCGCAGGTTTTGAAAATGTAAGAAATCAAGTTTTTGTCAAGTGTCGAGTTTGATCTAATCTCACTTCTCAAATCTCAACTCTCTTTCCCTCACTCTCTTTTGTCTTAGTATCTCACTGTGTCCTTATTAGCCCTAGTCTCAAACCCTAAGAATCATGGACACAGACACGCGACACGACATGACTATGACACAGACACGCCAATTTTCAAAAAATGCAGAACATGATACGTGGGGGACACGCATAAAATATATGATTTTATATATTTATTATATGTTATATATATATGAATATATTATTTAAAAATAATAAAAAATGTAATATGATGCTAATTCCTATAAATTTATATGTTTTTGTTTTATTATTGTATCTTAAATTGTTTTGTTCAAATTTATAATTAGTTTCACCTATGTCTAATTGATAAACGCGTGTGTTTTAAGTGATAGACACGTGTATCCTCCAAGTGTCCAAAGAGTATCCGGGTCATCTAAAAAAAATTTAAAAATAGGACACGTTTTAGAGAGTGTCAGACACGTGTCAGGGAAATGTCCAAAGAGTGTCAGTGTCTGACACGGACACGGACACGGACACGACACAAATACGTCAACTTGTTAGAATTGTCCGTGCATCTTAGCTCAAACCTCAAAACCCCTCTCTCACCAAGAAACCACATCCACCTAGGGTTTTTTTATGTGGTCTTAATCTAGCACAGAGGTCAATGATGAAGCACAAAGGTAATGTTATTAGTCATGGTGGCACTGAGCAATGGTGGAGGGGGCAACACTAAGTGATGGTGGTTGTGGCGTCTCCTTTTACTACAGTAGATGACAGTGAGTCAAAAAAATTGCTTTTTTTTTTTTTGGTGATCAATCTTCATTTTAGCAGCTTCTATTAAGATCAAACCATCATCTCTCTTTTGATGCACAAATTTCATCTACTTTTACAACTCAATGCTTCAATAAAAAGTACATTTTTTAGTTTGTGAAGACTGAATGAGGCTATGCTATTTGATTGTCAAACACTAACCACCAAACTAAGTGTAAGGAACGTATGGTTTCAAAGTGTCATTTAGTCGAAATCAAGTGTTCAAAATTCCAACCCGAGGTAGTCTGTTCAGGCTGCAGGCCAACATAGAACCTGACACAACATGTGAACAGCCCTAATTCTGAAAAACATATGCTAAGGTGAACCTATTCCTCTAATTTTTGTCTCTTCCTTCTCTTCCTGCTCTCACCTGTCCAAAGAGTATCCGGGTCATCTAAAAAAAATTAAAAAATAGGACACGTTTTAGAGAGTGTCAGACACGTGTCAGGGAAATGTCCAAAGAGTGTCAGTGTCTGACACGGACACGGACACGACACAAATACGTCACCTTGTTAGAAGTGTCCGTGCATCTTAGCTCAAACCTCAAAACCCCTCTCTCACCAAGAAACCACATCCACCTAGGGTTTTTTTATGTGGTCTTAATCTAGCACAGAGGTCAATGATGAAGCACAAAGGTAATGTTATTAGTCATGGTGGCACTGAGCAATGGTGGAGGGGGCAACACTAAGTGATGGTGGTTGTGGCGTCTCCTTTTACTACAGTAGATGACAGTGAGTCAAAAAAATTGCTTTATTTTTTTAGTGATCAATCTTCATTTTAGCAGCTTCTATTAAGATCAAACCATCATCTCTCTTTTGATGCACAAATTTCATCTACTTTTACAACTCAATGCTTCAATAAAAAGTACATTTTTTAGTTTGTGAAGACTGAATGAGGCTATGCTATTTGATTGTCAAACACTGACCACCAAACTAAGTGTAAGGAACGTATGGTTTCAAAGTGTCATTTAGTCGAAATCAAGAGTTCAAAATTCCAACCCGAGGTAGTCTGTTCAGGCTGCAGGCCAACATAGAACCTGACACAACATGTGAACAGCCCTAATTCTGAAAAACATATGCTAAGGTGAACCTATTCCTCTAATTTTTGTCTCTTCCTTCTCTTCCTGCTCTCACCTAACCCTAATCTTCCATATTATACAACACTCAACTATCTCAACAACTAAGATTCTTATATCTTACTTAGTACATGATTATAAGAAAGTTCACTCTTTCTAGGTTTTCATAATGGTTCCTTCATGATCAGTGTTATTAAAGGCGCGCCTACGCGTGTGCCTAGGTCCAAGTCCCATTCAAGCCCAAGGTTTGCGCCTTGTAGTGTTCCAAGCTAGGTGACTTTGATAAGGAGCGCCTAAGTGTGCGCCTAAGCCCAAGTCCCGTCCAGGCCCAAGGTTTGTGCCTTGTAGTGTTCCAAGCCAGACAGATGTGATAAGGCGCCCAATTGCCCAAGGCTTGCGTCTTAAGGGCTTTTTTATTGTTGCTTTAATTGGTTTTGTTTAAAATCTGACCATTGATTTAATATGGTGCAGCTACAGAAGATCCCTACTTTTATTACAGATGCCAATACATTGGGCATTCAACCCCAAATCAATTATTGAAGAAAAATTAGCCCTAATTCCTAATCTCCAAAAAACACTAAATGTTTAACATTTTATTTTGTTTATGTTGAACCCTAAATTATTTACTTATATTACATTATTTTTTTTTTCTGTACAAGGTGCGCCTCACTTCAGTGAAGTCTGTGCCTTGCCTTGCGCCTTGAGCCTAGGCCTCAGGGGACCTTGGCACCTTGGTGCACCTATCGCCTTTAATAACACTGTTCATGATATTCTAAGATGTACACTGCTTTGCAGATAAGCTTTTCACAATACCTCTTGGAAATCCAATATCTAGCCAAGCCAACAGGCTTCAATACTTTGCTCGGAAAAAAAATATGTTGCATTATCAGATAGTTAACAAAACAAGTTCCAAATAAAAGAGGGACACCGTCAAGCTTCGCATGAAACACAAGTGAACTCAAGTTAGTCAATTCAAGCAGTATAAATCCATTTATGAGAATCATGTTACTTACAAGTCAGTTGAATGTGCATAAAAAATGCATAATTAGTTTGTGTGAACGAGGAGAATGAATGAATAATGCCATGTACCTTGAACGAGTTTCATTAATTACTTATGTATTTCATGAAATATCATCATACCACTAACTTCCTGAGCCCATATTGATTTCACGTATTATTGTAACTTTCAGAAAATAACTACATTGCTTATACTGTTCAGCAATGCTTAATTGATTTCATTAGGAGCTTTGCTGGATGCAATGCTCTCTCAGGCGAATTCCTGACATGCTCTCAATCATTACAATCTAGAAACTAAAACAATTTACCATCCATTATCAACTCCAATGGTCACCTAAGGGGAAGGTGTGTCGTTCAAGTCAAAGGTTGGGACACAGGTTAATTCTAAAACCTAAAACTATTCAACTAGCTCTACATTAAGGCCAAGTTTGGGAAGACTAAAAAAGTGCACTTTTTGGCTTTTTGGATTAAAAAATTGAGGTTGAAAATATGGATGTTTGGGTTAACTTTTTGACTTTTTATTGAAAAATGTGTAATAAAAAATTATAAAAATTGATTTGTAGGAAAAAATTTGAATGTAGGGAAAAATTTGAATTGGGAGTTGTGCAGCCGTAATTGTTGACTTTTGGTAAATAGTGTTAACTTTTTAACTTTTTGAATAACTTTTTGACTTTTTGGCTTTTTTGGATCTTCCCAAACTTGGCCTAAATGTAGCTGAATGAGAACAAAACCCCAAAACAAATGTTTCCAAATGGGAATAAAGACAATAAACAAAAGTTAGCTAGAGTATGGTTCGAGATACATTTCAAATAGAAGCATAATCTAGATCTCGTACTTAGATTATCAGAGGCAAAGACCATAAACACTATTCGATAGTACAAAAAAAAAGGAACATAGGAACAAAATAACAGCACATATTGAGATCTCAAAAGCATTAATTAGGTTCCCACAATCATTTTGTGACATGCATAGGCAAAAGAACAAACCATTCCGACATTTTGTCCAAATGACCCAAGATTGCCAATTGGTTGGGGAGATACTGCAGGCGAAAATGGAGTGAGAGCCCTCTGTCTGTCTGACGGTTTTGACCAATCTGACCAAAGTCCACTAGTTCTGAATGCATCAAATCCTTGCTGCAAATCATGAAAACCAAAACCTCCAGGATTTCCAGAAAAGTTGCCTCTGCCAAAAGATGTCACCGGGGAGGGATAACTAGGTCTCGGCCCCAAGAGCATTCCATCAACTTGTTGGTCAATACTCACCACTGAGTTCAGCACTGGTTGTGAAACTGGAGTTGGTGGGGTGATATATTGCATGCTAGGAGGAACTAGATGCTGATAATATGGTGGCCCAGAGAATGGATACTGCTGAGGGGAGTATAATTGGGCATCTCGCCCAACAGAAGGCAAAGGTGTTGTAACTGGGGAATACGGTCCATATGGCATTTGTGGACTATAGCCATAACCAGTATGAAACAAAAGAGAAGGATTATCATTGTAGATGCCCTGAATGAGATCATGAAAAGGAAAATACAGTGAGGACTATCTATGGAAGATCTGTAGAGATAAAAGCGCAACAGTTCCAACTTACAGGAGATCCAATATCCAACCGCTCAGCATTAACATATGAAGGGTATTCATCCCATTCACCAGGAGCATTTTCAAAACCTGGAGTTATATCAAAGATAACAAAATGATCCCTTTAATCAAATTTTGTAAGTTACAAAGGGCACAGATATAAACAACAATGCAGCTAACACTAATACACCATCAAATGCATTCAAGGGAAACAATCAGTGTTCAATTTAGTCAAGAAACAAAGGGTCCGCTTGGTTTAATTTTCAGGATCAATTTTGAAAGATAGCTTTTTGAAAAGAGTTGATAAAATTTCAAAATTTGTTTGGTTTTGAGTTTTTAAGACTAGTTTTTAAGATTTTTGTTTTCCGTGTTTTGTTGTCTTTAGTGAGCCTTTTTTTGCCAACAAAGTCTACTAAGCCCAAGCCCAACCACCACTTTACTACTACTAAATACAATGGGGAGAAATAAATACCACCACAAAGGATATCAAACTCCTCAGCCCAAGCACAACAACCACTTAGAACCACCACCACAAAGGGTATCAAACTCTCTCCATAGGAGTTGAACCCAATACCTCACACGACAATGGGTGCTACACACTAGGCCAAATGTCCTGTTCCACTCAATCTAAATACACTTAAAAACTATAAAATTTATAAATAAATTCTTTTAAAACTCACTAAATACTAACAAATCTACAAACAAACAAACAAACAAAAAGGGCACAAAAAAAAAAAAGGAAAAGAAAAGAAAAAAAAAATAGTTTTTAGTTCCACTCAATCTAAATAAACATATAAAATTTATGATAAAATCTTTTAAAAAATCACTAAATTCTAACAAATATACAAAAAAATAATAATAATAATAATTTTTAGATCCACTCAATCTAAACACACTTAAAACGTATAACACATTTTTTTTAATTAATTTTTTTAAAAAAATTATTAATTGGACATACAAATTCATTTTATTTTAAATTTTTATGTGAATTTGCAAATAATTTCTTTACAAAGTTTCATCCAAAAAATGTGATTAATTTGAAAATATGATGTACTGCATATTTCAACATAGATACAACATAGATACAGTTCAATTAATGTAGCTTTGATAATAAGATAAATTTCATTTGAAATTGTTTTGGGAATAGAGATAAATTTGAAATAGTTTTGGTAATAGAGACAAACAAATGAGTTTTCAATTTTGGGCTCTCAAAAACTATTTTGAAAATCCAAACCAAACACAAGCAAATTCTTTTCCCTATTTATTCTCTCTTTGTTTAAAGTCCATGCTTCGGTGAAGAAGCAAACTTTTACATCAGTAATATTACAGGAATTCCCACAGATTGATAAGTTTAAGAAAAACATCTCATTTCAAAACGCCTCAGACCATGTGTTCATTGGTGTTCCTCTATTTCTTTTACTGCCCTCAAGGATCAAAATTGCATTTTGGTGTATTGTTTGGGTTAGCTTTCAAATGAAAACATATAGAGAGAAAGCGGGGGTTCAGTGGTCAAAAGAGTAGCATTTAAAAACAAAAAACAAACAAAAACAATACAATAACTTCCACCAAAAAGTTCAATCATTAATGTGTCTAAATTATGCATAGCAGTCTCTGCCTTTTATCAAGGAGAAGCCAACTACTAAAAAGAGACCAACATGTGGGATATTGTGGGAGACAAGGTTTGACTTATTTGATTGCATTAGGATGTTTGAGATTGAAAACCTCTCACTTGATGAACCCAACAAAGAGACTGTTATTTACAGATAATGGAGGTATAGGCCAAGTTGATGGTGATGGTGTTAGTGATGATGACTTGGTTGAAGTTAGGTCTGCTTGAAGCCTCAAAAGGCTACAAAAGAAATTTTATTAATAAAATAAAAGAAAAATTACAAAAGTTGGTGTAGGACAAGAAGTCCACCAAAAACACAAAAGTCAACCAAAAGATTACAAACCACGCACAACCCTTCAATCCGTACTAATCAAAAGGAATCTCCCTAAAAGAAAAAGGGACAGAAGCAAAAAAAAAGATATACAACAAATCTTATTCCATGATTTCCTCTATATGCCCAAATTTATAATAAAAAAAATGTGTTCCTTCCTAAACAAATCTCTGAAAATGTCACAAAAATGACACAATCCTAAAGAACTCAAACTTTCTTATTCGTTCCAAACCTCCTACAATCAATCAAAAGCATTTGTATAAAAGGAGAAGCCACCCACTCAACATCCACCATGTAAAACAATTTATGCCACGATGATAAAGTCACAAGACAATGCAAAACAACAAAAAAAAAAGAGAGAGAGAGAGAGGGTCAATTCTTTCATTATCCCCCTTTCTACACAAAATGCACCATTGAGGTAGCAAAAGTAATCAGCTCTCCTTTGAAACTAATCGTTAGAAACACTTTACTTAAAAAGACACACAAGCATTACAAATCATTTTAAAAAAAATAAAAAATGGGACCATCAGAATTATCAATCAACTCATGAAAAAAAAAAAAAAAAACTAGCAAGAGAACAAACCCAAGGAATGAATAGACAATACCCTTTATCCATAGAATCCCACCTCATTATGCATGACAGGTATCACTTGGATTTTCGAAAAAACTGAAATTTTAAGAAATGGGAGCCTTTGGGAAACAAGCAATAGAAGGAACAGACACATTATGAGAGTGAGATAAACAATACAAATGTGGAAACAAATGACCAAAAGAGCTATCCCCAATCCAAGCATCCTCACAAAAACAAATATAGTCCCCGTAGTCTTTTTTTTCTAGGTGTTTTTGATGAATGTATTAGATGATATCTTATGTGTCTTATGACTAGTGTATTTTTTATGGTTTTTCATGTTGAAATAATGCTAGTTTTTCATTATTTTTTATTGTTTGTGGATAAAAATTAGCAAATAAAAATATATTTAAAAAAAAAAAAAACTGGGTAGTATCCATGTTATGTCTATATCCTTATTTTTTTTTAAATCGTTATCTTGTGTCCATGCCTATATCTTTGTGCTTCACAATACACATCTCTTTACACAAATGGCACTAGCGTATAATTAACTAAAAATTTAATGTGAACCAATGCTTATCAAATTAATGTTAAAATTTATAAAGCACAAGTGTATACAATTTTAAATGTGCATAAAATTGCAACCAATTATGGTCAACAAAAAATTGAAAAGAAAAACAATAATAAAAATATTAACAGTAAAAAAGTGACGAACGGCTAAAATTGCATGTTCATGTTGATTTATATAAGTTGCATTTCTTTTATAGTAATTTCTTCCACATATGCGAGGTCATTTGGGAACACTAAAAAATAAAAAGCCAGCTTTTGACTAAAAAATCCAAAAAGCCCCCATGTTGTTTGTCACTAGCTAAAAAGGTCAAATGTCACATCAATTTTTTCACTCCCAAAAACCTGCTTGTTTAGCAACTTCCCAAACACATTAGCTTTTTTAGCTCCTAAAAGAAGCAAAAAGGCCACAAATTTTGACGGTAAGTGAGTGTGTTTCAGGTCTGTTAAGCTCCGTTTTAGGGGTGGTGTTGATCTTTGTTGTGTATTTTCAAATTTTGTTTGGAAGTTCTCTGGTGCTTCTGTGATGTATTCAAGTCCCATGACTTCGCCTCTAGTACATTGAGTTGCTGTCCGCCATGGCTGGTGAATGGGATATCATCCCAGTTGTCTCGCTGGCGAGTAGTCATCTGTCAGCTCCCGATGGTCAAACCGTCCGTGGGTCAATGCCTGTGTCGGGGTTCTGGTCATTGTTGGTGGGTTCGTTGGTATGACAGTGGTCTCTACGCTCATGTAAATCTGGTAGCTAAAGGAGGGTTCTGGCTATGCCACTGGTGAGTTTTACAGCTTGGTGTGGTGACCGTTATTGGTCGTCTCCGACTTGCAATGGTCATTTTCTTTCCTCTTAGCCTCTCTCTCTAGTCTAGAGCGAGAATGTTGATGTAAATGGATATGGAAATTGGGTTATGGTGTTCGGTTGTGGGTGATGCCATGGCCGTCTTCCATGGCCGTTTTCCTTTGGCTCAAGGTTTAATCTTCATTCTGGAGGGTTTCGATGAGGCAACTGTTGGTGGATGTTTTTTGTTTGTTTTGTCCAGGTTTGACGTCAGCGGGGGGTAGTCACTAGTGCTGGTTGATCTCTGGCCGGAGTTGCTTCTTCTCCGGCGAGATATTGACTTTGTTCAGGCACGGGTGTTGCTCTCACCTGGTGCTGGTTTTGGTATAGGTCCTCTAGGGATTTAAAGTTTTCAATTCATGGGGTGTTGCTTGCTGGTGGTCCGCTTGTAACGGAGCTAGTGTTGCTCGCTATATGTTTCTGGTGAGGAGTAGCAGGTGGTTCGCTACTCTGGCACTGGTGGGTTTGTCCATAACTGGCCTGGGTGTTTACCACCGTAATGGCTGTTTCTCCGTCGGGCGTTCGTGGTGTTTGGTCGGTAAATGTGAGATGGAGAGTGGCTGTACGCGTGGTCCATCGCGTGTTTCAAGGTGCAATTTCCCGTCCCAATGATGTTGTTCTGATCAAGGATAGCACGTTGGTATGAGGGAGATAGATATAGGTGGTAGGTCGGCTCCTTATTTTAGGTGGTTGGCCAGCTTGGTGTATATGTAAAGTTCGTATATGTATAGTTTTGTGTTGAAGGTGGCAACGCCACGTCGGTTTTATTTGGCCATTGACGTATTCAAAACCAACTCATGGTTTTGTGCTTTTTGTTGTTCAGCCATGTTCGACTGTGGTGAGGTCATTGTACTTTTGCCCATATATCTTCCTCAAATTTCACCTATTATTTTTTGATAGTAGAAGTTATTTGGGGATAAAAAAGGTATATGGGTAATTTTTGTGTTTTATTTGTATTTAGATTTTATTTGCTTCAACCCCCCTTTTGGGGGGCGAGAATGATATTTGTTGTATTACCTGGGGTATGCCCCTTGTAAATGTGTAATTCTTTGTCCTTAATTTATGACTTACCCACCCAAAAAAACAAAAACAAAAAAAAAAGGCCACAAAAAAAACAAACCCCAAACACCAACTTAATTATGTGTTAATGCTTGAATTTTTATTATAGAGAATAATTTGG